CTAATAAATAAATAAATAAATATTATTTTATTTTATTTTTAATTATATAATAATGAAAATGAAATATTTTACATATTTTAATAAAATTATAATAAAATAAAAAAATTATAAGATAAAACTATAATATTTTTGTATTAAATAATTAATCAAATTAATTTATCGTTTATTAAAATACACGATTATAAAAAAAATATATATATATTAATTCAAATTCACATTAATAACATTCAAAATAATAATATTTAATTGTTACACATAAAATAACCTTACTCTTATTTTACATATGAACAATATTGATGGAAAAGGCTTAATATTCAATGCATTTTTGCTATATTTCGCAAAGTTATTATTCTAAACATTTAATATAAAGTTGAAAATGTAATATCTATATTTTTTAAAAATTAAAAATTAAAACATTTTGTAGTTTGAAAAAAAATAGTGGAAAGTGACATCTCATACCTCACGTTTCGCCAAGAATAAGTATAGATAAAAAGAACGCGTAACAAGAAAAGAACAAAGATAGAATAAAAATATTGAAATCAGAGCCATCTTCATGGCCGCAGAGAAAACACATATAGAAAGGACAGAAAATTGATAGAAATAGATTAAAAATTGACCATTAGCGCCATCTTTTGGATATAATATCTCTTCAAAAATAAAATAAGTTTTAAAAACATTCAAGAGATGGTGCTGATTTTCAATTCTTATTCTATCTTATCCTTTTTGAAGAGATATCTTTAATATTTAAGAGATGGCGTTAATAGTTAATTTTTTAGCCTATCACTATCCTTTTCTTACTTTCTTTTCTTTATTTTCTGTCCTTTCTTTGTATGTTTCATTTGCGGCACTCTGAAGATGGCGTTGATTTCAATATTTTCTCATTATCTCTGTCCTTCTTCCTTTCTCACGGATAAGTTTTTTATAAAGAAAATGGAAGTAAAATTATATTTATATGCTTAGGTACTTTTTATTCGTTTTGAAAGTTTCACATATACACGTTAATTATTAACGACATAATAAACAATGACATATAGACATTAGAATCTGAGTAGATGCCCGTATCGCGGACTGGTTGCGAGAAAAAGATGTTTCATAATACATATCACGTAATCATTATCATTATAATGACCATATATATAAATATATATATATATATTATATATATATATACATATATATATATATATATGTAACAATATTTATAGACATATACAGACGAATTTCATGTGTATCTGTGTTTTATATAATATTTATATTTATATATTTATATTCATATTTATATTTATACGTTATAACACCGATATGTCAGTTTATTAGGCATAAATTTCCTGTGTGCGTGTGTACATGTATATGTATGTATTTCTTGTGATAAATGCACGCATATGTACCAATACTTGTTTCTCATTCCTATTTCAGACGATCTTTGTATGTTCCTTATACAGATTAATTATTTATATCTTAATCAAAAAAGAAATAACATATACAGTAATATATCCGTAGAATCTATTATACGTGTATCCTATGCTTGTAAAATTATATGCTTGCATGCTTGTGTAAACGTGTCTATGTTTGTATGTGTTATAATCAGCGTATGCAATAATTCTAAAGTGAGAAAAGTTCAAATAAGTCTAATAAGTAACGAAGCGGACAGTATGAGAGAGCACCGAGATATATTAAAGCGAAGATATCCACCGAAATACGGTAAAAACAAAGAGAGACAGAGATTTGGGAAATAGAGCATAGCTCGGTCTTTCAGGTGTAAAGAGGATTTTTTGACTTATTTATATTCTTTATATGTTTTACTTGTTCATTCATTTTTTTTTTTTTTTTTGGTTTTGTTAAATTAATGTCTTTTTTAATTTATGTTTAATATATGTGTATACGCATCTCTGTATGTATTATGTTAAAGAGAGATTATCAGAGTATTACGCGCTATAATATAATTGAAATAAATATGTGTATATATTTATATTATGTATAATATGGCTATGCCGTGAATGGCTCGTCGGCTGCGCTTGCAACGACTCGATCACTGTAAGACACTGTACAAAAATACCGCTTATAATAATTAGTAATAATAACAACGCAGCCGGCAAGACTAAAACTTACGGCCATCAGAGATATGTCTCGACATGGTTCTTTGGGTGCCTTCAACGCGAATATGCGCAAGTGACTAACCCATTTCATCGTTCTACGATCACCTAAAAAGGATATGTTTCACTACACTGAGTCAGGAGTCCCGGTGTTCTTTATCGCTAGTACTATATATCAATATAGAAATTAAGAATAAATTTATAATTATCATATGTTAAATTATCAATGTATCAAATTAATTATATCAAATTTTTTTTTAAATTTCTAAATAAATATACTATTATCGATAAATAAAATGAAATAGAAAGTTAAGAATGTATTTTTACAATTAATATCATAACAAATATGTTTGTATATTTTTCTACTTTTTCCCTTCGATTCAGTCTTTAATCTTGGGATCTAAACTCCTGTCTCACTGGATAAGTGCATCTATGCTAACGTTACTATTTTCTTTATTTCTGTATCTACTGATATTTTTTGTCAACTTATGATCGTTCACATTCTATTGTTCAAGCGAATGTTTTACTAGAAATTTAAATATAATAATTGATATTAATTTAATATTTGGAAAAAATTATTTTTGATATGCCTTCCGCGGATTCTAAGCTATATGTAGGGCCTGCAAAGAATTCCACTCGGCGTATCGTAAATCAAACTTAATATCTATTCGAATTAAATTTTTATTATCAAAGAAAATTTTTTAGAGGAAAATTAATATTGGATAAATATCAAATAAATGGTGCAATTAATTAATCCATAATCGAATGATTCGCTTGTAACAATAATATGTAAATAACATCTTGATATTTTCATATCGATGAAACTTCTTAGAAAAAACATCCAATGCGTATATGTATATATATAATATATAAGTATATAATATATCTTTGATGATCGTAATAATGTGTATATATGTAACATACATATATTATATATATATATTAACAAATAAATTCTCTTAAATCTCATACGTTTACGATATATATACGATCTTTAGAGATTATATCAATGAAGCCTTAACTATTTTTTTACAGGTAAAATTTTGGGCGTATAAATGATATGTGTGTGTTGTGTGATTTGGCACGAACCTTTTTTTCTTAATCGAAGGAGATAATTTTAATTTTCATATAAAAGAGTATCATGGTAAAAAAATAGCATTTATTGGAATTTATTGAATATTAATATTAAGAATTTTACTTAATTAAATAATAATAATAATCTATACAAAACAATTGATTAAAATTGTTAAAATGATTAAAATTATTCAGTAGAGCTATATATTTAAAAACAAAATTTTTAAAAACAAAAGTTTTCAAGATCTCCTTCGATTTTTATTAGAATAATGGTTCGCGTCACGACGTAACATTATTATTAACCTAATTTCGGTATGCAAGTATTACTCGTAATATTAATGCCTTAACATTATTACTCTTTTATTATTCTATATTAATTATCGAATAGTAAAACACAATTTACTTTCCTTGTGTGTAACGCTTTTACGATACTACGTTTTTGTGAACGTATTTTCAATATCTCACGCGATATAGTGTACGAAAGGTGTTCGATGGTGTTTTACTAAGTTTTCATCAACATACTTCTTGTAACCGAGTCTTAAAATTATACATATACTTCTATATCTGACAATATAATATTACAATGCAGGATTTGTCTTTATACTTTCTTCGTTTCGTAATAACAATCGAATTTCTCTTGTCCGTCGAAAAATATTACAGTTATCTTTGACACGCCAAGTTTCGAATTAACTTCGAACACGTTTCGCAACTCGAAGATAGAAGCATTACGTGTTCGCACGTCACAATCCGCGTGTTGCTTGGAGAAGGGGAACTTAAAAACATCTAGTTGAAATTAAAGATCGTGCGGCAAAAGCGTAACTGCGACGTACACTATCATTTTATCGTTTCATCTTGCGGCGTTGCTGAAAGGCGGTTGTAATTTTATGACGCGTGTATAAGTGTCGACGTTTAGAGTAGCAGTGGAGGATCACAAAACAGAAGCGACGAGCCATTTCAATGAATCGTGCTCTACCGGAATTGACAAGTGTCGGTTTCCTGTTGAGTATATTACGTTCTATCAGCAGTCGTTATTTCATTTCGACTGGCCGCTCCTTTGTGAACGAAGTTAAACATTTGAATGATCTCAAGATATCACCGCCAAAGACTACGAGTTGAAGAATTCGTTTGAATCGATCTATACGATATCCTGACCATTTTGATCGTTTCGATCGAATCGTTTCTTGATCGTAGTAATATTTCTGAAAATAAATATCAATAAATGGAATAAATATATCAAGATACAAAAAAAAAAGGGGAAATAATAACGATTAATAAATAAGATAAATTAATTTACAAAATATTGTATACCGGCCAAATTAGTTAATTGAATATCTCCGTAACTTTCAGCAACAATGAAAATTGAAGAGTGACGATCTATTTTTTATTAGATTATTACTAGACGAGACTGTGACGTACGAAGTGCAACATTAAGAAATGTCGATGACTTCGTCTCAATGATTCCAGGAACGGGTTGATATGTATAAGATGAATGTCCGTGGATCATAAAATGGCTAAACTACAGACATTCGAATTTTCTATCGAATTATACTACGCATCTCGCGTTCGCACGAGCTTTAACAGACATCCATAAAATACTTGGCAACGATCTTGATATGTATACGTTCGATGAAAAAGGCTTGTACATTTACTACTAGGGCCTTTTTTCACCCTGTTATCGTTCGAGTTTTTTTCCTTTCTCCCTTTTATTACACCGTTCGAGCGTGGTTTTCGATTTACATTAGAATCGAACGCTACGATCGAAATTTAATCGATCAGACGATCGAGATAATTATGGCCGCCATGATTCAATCGTATTATCCTTCAATTTTCGATCGAACGATATCGTGATCAATATGTCAAAATACTCGTCGATTGTTGATCGTTATGAATCACATGGTTATTTTCGTATTCCAAACAAAAAATTTCATGATGGTTCATAAATATTTTTCAAAAATGATCTGACGAATCATTTATCTTCCAACGAAAAAAAGATCGATTTACGTTGATTTTTGCAAGATACTTAATTCTTCTCACAATTTAATTTAACTTAATCGACGTTCTACGATCGATCAGTTTTCTCTTACTTATACTTCTATCAACATTGTCAAAGCTTAAAATCGCGAATAATGAAAAATAGATATCGATCGTTCAATCGTGTCACGTCTCCGCGACCGTGACACGATTGTTCGACGATAAAAACAAAGATAATGAATTCGAGGAACGCGGTTTCGAAAAACGGAAGGAAAAACGGCGTCGGTAAAGAATTTTCGCGCGAATCAGGGGGACACAGGTTCGCGTTTGAGGAAACTGAGGTGTCCGAGCGCATCACACGATCGGACATCGCAGTTAGAGTATAGCAACGGCGACGATCAGTAATCGTAACATCGTATCGGTGTAAACGTGACAGGTGCCCATCGACGAGGTTCTTCCAGCGTTCTTCCCGACGCAACCCATTCTCTCCAACGGTATATTCTGAACAGAATACTCTCGGTTCTCGCTGACCATGGTGCACACCGTGTGCTTCCTCGACATCCTCTCGTCATCCTTGTCGCGTAGATTTCCCAACCAAATGGAATACCATCGTAGCTCACAGTCGCAAACCAGAGGATTGTCTGTGGAAGAAAAAGATTGAGAAAAAAAAAAAAAAATAACTTTTCTTCCTTCCTACTCCTCATATTCCCTTCATAATTTCAAATTCATTGGCTCGAGATAAACCTATCTTATCGTGTTTCAACAATATACCTCTAGCCGAGGTATCGCGAAAAATTAAAAATTGATAAACTTTTCCACCGCACGCTATAGATAAATAGGAAACGAACTCCTTGACATTTACCCGTGATATCGATGTGTCGCAATGTATCCACGATATTTTCAGTCACCTCCTCCGGTATGTGCACGAGCTTGTTGTTTTGCAGATTCAACGTTTCCAACGAGTTCAAATTTTCGAAGACCACCGGTGGCAATATTTTGATCCTGGGAAACAGAAAGAAAGAAACGTCTCCTCTATGATGAAAAAATAAAAAGGAGAAAGAGAGAGAGAGAGAGAGAGAGAGAGAGAGAGAGAAATGAATAAAATAAAATTGTGGAGAAATATTCGTTAAATAGGAAATAATAGGGAATTACAAGTTCTTCTGGAGGTTGAGAAACGTAATGGAGTCCCCGTATCCGGTGAAAGCGTCCTCCGAGAGCGCGGTAATGTTATTGGCCTTTAAATCGAGGTGACGTAATCGATGCAGACGGCGTAACGCATCGCTCGGCACCGAGTGTAAATTATTATCGCCCAGTCGCAAATATTGCAGGTTCTCTGTAATGGAATTAAAATAAAATATGCATGAGCATTTCCATCGATGACATGGTGCATCGAGCACGTGTTTATAAATTAACCAGAATTAATTAGGATGATAATTAATCGCCGAGAGTAAGGCAACGTATGGATAAGCTCTTATATACCTAGTTTTTTAGAGTTTTGTTTAAATTAATCGCGCCTTAAAATTATTCATTCTTTGGAAAAATTGTTCAATTGCTCAATGGAAATTTTGCGATTCGTCTTTGCGAATAATCTTTTTCCTCGAGAAAGGATCGGTTGCTGCGAAAGGGAAGGGGAAGAGGAGGGGATATTCAGGATAATCGCGAAAAAAGTAATTTAGAGCAAATAATACCTATTAAAGAAGGATTACGTGGAAACCCATAAATATGCAAATATTTGTACCGTGAACGGTATGCAACGCGTAAAAATGGTTTTTCTAACGATTTTTTGTTGTTTACAACAAAGTATGACTCGCTTGAATTGGTGTTGCCATCGATCGATTATCGGAAAAGTTTATTTTTCGAATACATCTTGTTCCTTTATCTTCGTCAATCTCGATAATCAACGTTTTTAAAATGGATATCAAGAGGGATATTTTATAATGCAAAGGAAATGTAATTTCCATTAATTATAAATCGCGCTATTTTTTTTTAAAAGATTACAAAAATCGTATACGATCGCTTTGCAGGAATCGCCGTTGCAACTCAACGTTGGTCGAACATGCAAATTTCAAGTTTTTCCCCGGGTTCTATTCTAGAATTGTAACGAATCGAATCGGGTCGAAAACTCGTTTGTAGTCCAAACGAACGGACTTCGTTGAACATTAGCAAACAGAATTTTATCCGAGTGGCAATTTTTCAAAAATTTTCGAATTATTATTATTTTTTTTTTAACCACCGTGTTCGCAAAAAGCAACTACTCTTTGCACCAATTTTTATTTATTCGCGAATGTATTTTAAAATTTTCATCCATTCATCGACGAATTATCAAGTGTTAAACGAACCAATTACTATTCCAAATTTACATTACAAATTTTTATTCTGGTTATATCTCCAGCAGAGAAATTTTTAAAATTAAAAAACATAAAAATATCCTTTGTAGGATACGAAGAAACGTTAAGTTTATGACATAAAAAAAGAGATAATACTTTCATTAATAATATTAATAAATTATAAGAATTAAAATATTCTAATAATTTATTATAGAAATATTTCACTTCCATTCTCCCTACCCTTCTTCCTTTTTTCCTTCTTCTTTATTACAAAATAGAAAAAAAAAAGTTCAAAAAATTCTACAAATCATTCACCTTCCTCCCCTACCATTTAACGTTTCTCTATATACAAAGTATAAAGTACTCGACACTGTAATTTGATTTAATTTCATTTCGCGTAATTATCCCCGAGTCGGACAAACCGATTAACCAGTTACAAAACCGTAAACTGTCTCTAATAATTTGGATCATTGTTAGGGGTGTTTAGTCGCGTCGCGAGTTTGAAACGCGAAACTGGAGGGATAGACGGATTTCTCGTCGTAAACGTTTAATGGAAAATCAGTGGGATTAATGGACGTTACACAGGGAGGGACGTTGAACCGAACGGCAGAAATAATAATAACGTTTCAAATTGCATACCGTGGCCGTTGGTCAAAGGAATCGCGTGGAAATGGTGATTAAGCTTACCCTCGAGACCGATGAACGCATTCGGATCCACGTGGGTAATTTGATTCCCGTCCAGTTCCAAAGAGTTTAATTGCGTCATGTGGGAGAAGACACGGGTGGGTACCTCGCGGAGCCGATTGTGCGCCAATCCTAACGAGTCCAGGCTTTCCAGGCCTGAAAAAAAAAAAAAGAAAAAGAACACGGGAAAGAAAGGGAATAGTTTAGCAGGCTCGTCGATATGTTTCTACGATACACACAAGGATTATATAACGTTTCTCTGTATCAATTTCGATGCGTAGCCGTAAGTCAATTTATACGTTTCGTTTCAGAGGATTTTTATCGGTATGCAACGTAATAGATTTTCGCGTTCGTGAACGGATGATGGGATTATCGCACGAGCCGATTCCGAAGTGGAAGAATATCGAGCTTGCTCGATCGATCAAATTTTACGCGAAATTAATTTTTCATCCATTTTCATTCCGAGACGATGAAAAATGGGATTAACTATTATATTTTATTCGTGTCACGCGGATTTGTAATATAATACGATAAATAGAACAAATATTTATACGAATTTGGTTTTCAGAAATAATTTATCTAAATATAATTTATCTAACGAGAATCGTTTATTATATTCGAGAGAGATGATCAAGCGAGGATGATATTTCGAATAGTAATAATGCGCGAGAAGGAATCTCGGATGAGGATTGTGCGGGGAGCGGAAATGAAAGTAGACGTACCTTCAAAATCACCTTCCTGAATGGAAGCGATCCTATTCTCTTGCATCTCCAACTTTTTCAACATATTCAGAGTGCGGAGCGCTTGCGTCGGCACTTTGGTCAACTCGTTTCCTCCCAGATTCAATCTCCTCAGCTTTCGACTATAATTTCCATCATAGTTTTTTCTTTTTCTTTTATTTGCAATTTGTTCGCTAGCTTGTTTAACATTCAACGAGATTAATAGATAGATATTATTATTTAATCGTTAATTAACTAATCTTTCTCTCATCGATCTGTGGATTCAAAATTCGCGATATACGTATACATATAAGTATAAATTATACTTAATATTTATCTCTAGTGCGGGGAGAAAATTGAAAGAGTAGAAAATAAAAGGATTGTTAAGCAGAAGAGAAAATTGAGAAATTTACTCGTGCAATCCTGTGAAGGCGTCCTCTTCTATGATGGAGATCTCGTTCTCGTAGAGGGAAAGAATCTCGAGTGTGTCCAATCCATCGAAAGCATTTTTATGGATGGCCTTGATCTTGTTGCGGTTCAAATTCAAGATAAGTAGATGGTGAAGCTCCTTCAACGCGCTAGACGGGATCGAGGCCAAAGCGTTTTGCGAGAGGTCTAATTGCGTCAGCCCACTTCCTACCAAATTAAATTTAACAAACATGTTAAAAATTAATCCTCCATTAAAATTCCTAATTCTTTATTCTTCCTCAACTCTTGATTCCTTCCTTTTCACGATCGTAATTAACTTTTCATTATTTTCCATAACACTGAACGCGTCATGAGCAATGGATCTTTCAATTTTTCCTTTCCAAACAAATCAAAAGATTTCACGCGAATCGCACTTTCGTTGGCAATCAAATGGAATATCAAGATCGATATAATGCAAAAATTATAATCGACCAATTTGGGGGAAGGGAATTACGAGATACTCTGAAAAAACGATATTTTCTCACCGACGGAACTCAAGGACGATTCCTCGAGCTTCGCCAGGCTGCTGTTGTGGATGGTCAAATGGCGGATGTCGAGGCCGAGGAACACGTAAGGCTGCAATTTGGGCAGATTGTTGTGCCTGAGCCTGAGATAGAAGATGACAGTGTTGGTCCTTCCTTTGAGAGAGGTCATCACATTGGAGATGTGCGATAGATCCGTGTACTCGCATATGATGTCCAATCCGGATTTCTTCAGGGTGCAGGAACAGGGCGAGATTTCGGTGTGAGATGGGCATAGTTGCGATGTTTGTGCAACGCCCATACCCGTTATTACACTCACTGTCCAAATAAGCGTCCATAATCCGATCTCCTTCATTTTTCCTCTCTTTCTCTTTCTATCCGCTCTTCTCTTCCCTTCTTTAAATTTCTCCAAATTTTTCGTCTTTTATTCTTCTTCCTGAAGATACTTGTTACTTGCCCCGTTCTTCCGTTCTTTTTTCCCTTCTTTCTTTCTTCTGTCGTTAGATTTGACTTCTCGTTCGAAAGGAAAGATTTTTCGTTCGATTTCTTCTTCTTCTTCTTCTTCTTCTTCTTCTTCGGTTCCTTCTCGCTCGATCCGCTCTTTCTTTCCTGTTGCTTCGCCCTCTCCGTTCCTGTACCTGCAGCCTGCTACTTAGCCTCTGCTCTTCTCATATCCATTGTTCGCTCTTCCGCGGTGCACCGGTACACCGAGTCTGGAAAAATATCGGTTTATTTCTTTTATTTTCTTCCCTTCTTATTATTATCTTTTTATTTACATTGGGTTCAATTAAATTTATGCGTTCGTGTATAGGTACATCGATTCTATTCTTTGAAGAGATCGTTAGTTTTAAAGCTATAGGAGGGTAATTTTTAATTTTTCAATTAAATGGAATTAACTTTGATTTTTCTCGTTAAATATTTCATGGATTAAATATGGGGGAGAGGAAGAGAGAAAGAGAGGGAGGGAGAGTCAGAATCGTTTTATATTTTAAATATTATTATATCGAATTCGAATTAACTTTTTTCGTCGACCGATTGTTCGAATAGATTTTATAGGAGGACACTGGATCGATCGTTTACTTTAGGTAGCAAATACCGGGTGAAATATCATTCTCGGTTTTCCAATTAAACACGATCGTGAAACGCGGTACTCTTTACAATTACGAGTGGCCGTAATTAACTCGGCAGGAAATTTCATAATTAGCTATGATCTCTCTGTTCAGAGATATCACAAGCATCTGTAGAAAACAAGTCGATTTACGAATCACGAAAGCAACAACATTATTTCACGCTTTGATTATCTCATTTTACGATTGCAAAAATATTTATATTTTTATCAACCTGTTATAAAAAATTTGTTATTCATGCATTCGAAGAAAAATCGAGATATATTTGTATAATGTAGATCTTTGAGAACAGATTAATGCAGATAGGAAAAATATTGCTTCGTATTTTGCATAAAAGAAAAACAAAAAAAAATTACTAATCTCGATAACTTTTAATAAATAATTTTAATTATTACAATCTTTGCTTCGATGATTAAGTTAAGATGTTTTTCGAATTGCTCGAAGATCCTTCTCAATCGCGAACGAATTTACAACTTTTCCCTTATATTTTATTTCATATTCGAAGAATTTATTCCATTGAGTCAGAGTTTTTTTTTTTTTTTCCTCAAAGATAAAACTCGGCCAGTTTCGTTGAGTTTGGATCAACACCGAGTCGTTAAGATCGCGAGAATAGAATTGAAATTGTTGATTCGTTTCACGTATTATTCCGTGTAAAATTTATTTAACAAGTGTCACACTCTTGAATAATAATTTATTTTCGTCGAGACGACGTTTCGATAAACAAGCATTGTTCTAATTGATCCAATTGTTCCAATTGATCAGTGAACGGTGTGCGAATTGTGTGCAATCGTGGAAAAATGTGTATTGACTGTGAAAACGAGCGATATCGGTCGAGACGATTGATATTGGTGCCGATGTAATGTTTCGAACAAATGACGAACGAGTTTCGATGAACGATAAATTAACACAGGAAGAAATTGTGTCTTTCATTATTTATTAAACGAGATTTCTTTCCTTGTCATTTCACTTCTATTTCATTCGTACCATACATTTTCCTTCTTTTCCCTCTAAATATCGTTTTTCTTTATAACAACGATTATCGTTGCCATAAAATATTAATTCCAATTTTCCATTTATCCCAGGAGTTCACCTTCGCTTCGACATTTGTTTTTCGCGCCACGTTTTTTCCCATACGAATTTCTGCTATGTCGATTCAACAGTTTTGGAGTTTTTTTACACGGTGAAGTACGCTCGAGAGAAGTTTCTATGAGCCGCGCGTAAAACGATATTTTTGATAAAAAAAAAATAAAAAAACAAAACGAAAATACTATCGAATGTGTTTTTTTTTTTTTCGTTTTTATACAAAAATGTGTTTATTTACTTTTTATAATTTGATTCGTGCGTCGTAACTTGGCTGGAAGAATTCGAAGGAAAAGTTTCCAAAAATATATGTCCCTGGACGTGCTCCCGACACCCAAGTGTGCTATCGTTTTCATCCCCTGCTCTTTTTACTGCCATCTTGTATTTTTTTTTTTTTTCCTCTCTTCCACGTATAACTTCGACAGAGCTTAGGGCGACGTTACAGTAAATCGAAGTAAAAGTTTCTTTGTCGAGGCATAAAAAGAATGCGAGCGAAAAGAATTATAGGAGAATTAATAGCGTACGCGAAAAAAAAATATTTCGTCACAAAGTTTCCCTCATAAAGTTCACCATTCATCCTTTTTGATATTTTATTTTAAGACATTACAGATTTTTTACGTATTTATTTTACGCAGTTGAACACAATCGAATTAAAAATTCGTTTACGAGAAGAGAGAATTTTTTTGTTCTTTTTTTGTTTTTTTTAATAAAATAGATTCTTTTAATTTTCCGTAATGTAAAAAGTATTGTTCGTTAGTGTAACGTTTAGCGTAACACAACGTTGTTTCAAACGCAAACAAGGTTTCTCGATGGAATAGAGAATTCGCTAAAAACTTTTTTTCTAGCAAAAAGTTGTTGCTAATTGTTTAATAAATGAGGAATATTTTTAACAAACGGAAATTCCTTTGTGAAAACGGAGAAAATTTGTTAAACAAAGAAGCCATTATTTGAAACGAGATACTTTTTTTTTTTTTTTTTAAACAAAACAAGAAACTTTCCCCGTGGGGATACAAAACTCTGTTTATTACAATAAAGAGAATCTATTCAACGAATAAATTTTTAATAAGATTTTCTCGACAACTTTTTTAACATAAAAGAAAAGAAAAAAAAAAAGAAAATCATTTCTAAGTTAAAAATCACTCGTAAAAATATACTCGTGGAACGAGATAATAAAATAATAATTTTTTTCATAAAAAATAAAAAGAACCACGTACCGATCCATGTAGATCCTTTGGCGGTTTCCTCTGTCACTCGCGAGATACTCGTTACGAAACTGCGAGGCGGAACAACGACGTGCACTCGCGTGATCACTGGTCATCGCTTATTGATGTCACTGCGTATCAAGAAACTTAGCCGTTCGCTCGATTAATCAACGACACTGAGATTATCAGTGGGGTACACAGGAGGGAGCATAACGACACACTTTTCTTGCATCCACCGTGCAACTGTGTCAACGATACGTAATCACTCTTCAAAATACATCTTTTTCTTTTTTTACTCGGATATATCAAACGTTTCGATTAAACTTTTTCTCTCTTCAATCCTAGGCACACCAATTTTCACGTAAACCAAGCAATGTTACAATTTTCTTTGCAAATTATTCCTTTCTTGTCCTTTTTCACCACGTATAATTATAATACGACTATTTCATTCGAGTTAAACCAAAAGTCGGCAATTAATTACAGAACCGTATCAGTTTCTTTTCTATCCGATATTCCACTCACGGATACCTTAATCGAGCGATCGTCCATCGCCAATTCGCGAGAGGAGCCAGCACAGATCGAAGCGAGTTCGAGCTTCTTCGAAATAAGATCCGCTGGAAATCGTTTAAATCCTTCGATCCTTCGAATTATCCCCCTAAAAGGGATTCTCAAACGTGTAGACACCTTGGAAGGACATCCTCCGTATAACAACGCCTCCTTCGATTTTTTCCAATTATTTTTTCCATCTCCTTTTGTTCTAATTTTTTCTTAATTTTTCCTAATCCCCCCCTCGACAAAAACGTCTTATATATCCCTTCTCCCCGAACAAGTTCTCGTTGCACGAATTTTTGACGAGGAAACGGCAACGCGTTGGCAAACGAGGCGAGGAACGAAAACGAGTGACGTGCTCGGTACCAGGAGGCGGAGATCTGACCCGGGTGTCCGTTGGCATCATCATTGGCCGGTTAATGGGCAGCTTCCGTCCAGGGGATTATGGGATATACACACGGCAACGTGGTGTGTACACCACACGTCATAAGAGCGATACTCTTGGGCGTGGATGGCCAGTCACGCGGTTTGTTCGTGCACTGCGTATTTGCACCGATCAACCCGGCCAAGGAACGCCGTTTTTGTGTCGTCATTTCGTCCCATCCATCGTTTCGCCAATTTTCCTTCCACGCGTTCGTTCCTCGGATTCGTCGGGGACGGGTTTCGTACGTAGTCAAATCGTGGACGTGGCGATCGAGAGGATCTGTTATTTTTAGAAAGAGTTAAATTCTATTTTTTTTTTTTTTTTTATTTCTTACGGAGGAAAAAATCGAATTCCTTCGCGAGGTTGCATATACATTTAAAAGTATTTAAAATGTTTAATAAATACGCAAGTGTAGAGTTTTTAGAGAGAGAATTAAAAAGAGAAATTTCTTCTTTTTCCATCACGAATTCCATCAAGATTATTTAATATTTGGTATCTAGTTTGTGAAATTAGAGTTTTTTTTTTTTTCGTAGGATAAACGGCAATTAAAAGTTGAAAGTGGGTTCTATGTTCGCAGGTTGATTTATATAACTCTTTTATATAACTCTCGAACGAATATTCGTGCGAGTTTCGAAAGTAAAATTGTTTCGTTTCTTTCTCATTATTTCCCTTCTTGGAATTGAAATCTTTCCCTCGATCTGCACCGATTGCGGACGATTTTATCAGAGACTAAAAACCGAAGTGAATTTCAAACGATTCGGAATTACAGGGTTTATTATTAAATTCCATCCAGCCATGGAAAGGCGATCGATCATCCCATTACGTTACATTTTTAAAACAATTTTCGACTTCTTCACTGGTGGAAAAGTAGCATTCGATCGTTTGAATTTTTGTTAAATTGATTAAAAGAAAAAAAAAAACATATTTCACGGTTATTAAATATTATTTAGGATCATCTTTTCGTTCGTCACACGCCAACATTCGATTTAAACGAGATTGTTATCTCCGCGCTATAAATTCGTATTAAACAAATTCGTACGGGAATAATTTAAATCTGACGCGAGATTTAAAATTTGCTGCGAGTAATCCGATGTTTTTACAACGTGTGTGCGTGTATGTATGTGTGTCGGACGCGATATCTGCTTATGTTATTAAACAAATCTCCATGATCGAGTTTTTGTTACTTCTTTTCGAATACTGTTTCCATTATTCTTCTATTTTTTTTCTTTTTCATTATAAAATAGACGGATGAAAAAGAAGAAAAAAAAAAAAAAAAAGACGCGGAATATAAAACGGGATAATAAAGAATTTCGAAGAGGATACGATTTAAAATTTGGATGAACGTTGAAAGCTTTTCATTCCGTTGCGATATTAAGATACGTTGTAATATTTACACGTGGGACAGGATTTCAACAAAGGCGACGTATTATTGAATTGTACTACCTGTCTACTCGGTTACAATACAAAATTTTCATAAATTACATTTCATTAATAAATTACGATTAATTATATTCGAGCCGTAATCCGTGATACAAAATATCGAATCGTGTAATATTGAATTGTACTATTAAGTTGGAATGTCGAGGTTTAATAACGAATTGGCAATATTAATTAACGATAACGTATACGATGATATCGATACGAATTTCAAACGTTTCGGGAAAAAAATCGAAATGCATTTATCATCTCATAAAATTTTTCAATTTTCCTTTCTTCTTTTTCCTTTTTTCCTTTTTTCTTTTCTTTTCTTTTTTTTTTTTTTTTCCTACGAATTCAATGCCTTCGTTACGACCGCAAAAATAAAATATACATTTCCACGTAAATTACTCCTCCACGAGACTTCATTTTTTAATTAATT